TACTCACCCGACCTGGCTCCGTCGGACTTTTTTTTGTTTCCACGGATGAAGAGAAGTCTGAAAGGAAAGCGATTCCGTGATGTGGATGAAGTCAAAGAAAACACGCTAAAGGCTTTGAACAGTATCCAGCCTCAAGAATTCCAGCACTGTTTTGAGCAGTGGCAAAAGCGTTGGGACAAGTGCATTAATGCACATGGACAGTACTTTGAAGGGGACTAATATACAGTTCAATAAAAATGCAAAAATAAAAAATAACAAAAATAAATACCGGTTATTTTTGGGTCCCCCCTCGTATATATTTGTTGCCACAGGAACATGTTTACTGAGTTGTCCAGAAATGGTTGTTTACAGAGTCCCTGCTTAGGAATTGATCTATATGCCACAATAGTCTTATCGCTGCTACTGCCTCAAGAGAACATGATATACATATATTTTCCCCCTTTGGTCTGCCACAATAATATTTTCATTCTTACAGGCTGTCATTTTCATTCTAATTACTGAAGGTGATCTTATCATTAAATATAATAGCCTAGCTGATTTCCTAGTACTTTTTCAGCATACTCCATCAATACATTATAGTGAACTACAAAGGATTAGAAACAGTAATAATAAGGGTATTCTTGATTTTATTTCATTTCAGTATTTTGGCTTCATTTTGTATTTTTTAGTTTGTTTTATTGGGTTTGATTTTTTAACAAAATGGCTGAAGCTTCTGGTGTGAAGAGAATGTCCCCAGGTTCGAAAAGCGAGGGGTAGGAGACTGTGGTAAATGTGTTTGGTTACATAAAGACAGATATCCTGAAAAAAAATGTGACATCAAGTGAGACTGCTGTAGGAATGGGTGCCTAAAAAACTTGTGTTATTAAAATTTGGAAGGAAAGAACTTCTATCTGTTACTCCAAACAAGAAGCAGGAAAGAAGAAAGATATAAATAAACACAAACCTGAAAATAAATGATTTTCATAGGAGCTGAATAAGGTAAAAGGGTAATGAATTTCATTTTAGAAATTAATCACACTGACTACTGACAGCTGTAAGTAATGATCCAGACTGCACCTTTGTGTGATTGTGTTTGAGATCAGTCTTGTGAAAGATACAATGTTTATAGAAATGGATGGCATTATCAGTTGGCATCCCAAATATCTTTTATCAAGATTAAAAAATGGAGTGAAAAACAGAGTACTGTTTTCTCTACTGAATCCTGAATGTTACGTGGGTCACAGCATAGTAGTGTGGAAAGAATGACAACTCCCAGACAGTCATTCCTGGCACGATGTTCCATTGAGTAGACTTCAGCAGGTCTCAGGCCCTATATATAAAAATAGTGCAATCTGAAAATGAGATTTCTGCCAAAAGTAAAATTCTGTCAGTGCATATGGTAAGTGGATAGCAACTGCTGTGCGATATATTTTGCAGATAAGCCTACAGATATATGTCCATACTCTGTAGTTCCTGTTTACAATGCTTGATACCATAGCAGAATAATGAACCAATAGCAAAGTCATGGAGGAAGCACAGAGTATAAGGGTGGTTTAAAATGTAAGATAGACAATATGTAGATGGTATCCTTGAGAAACATTTGATTGACATGAACAGTGGAGAATGTAAATATGACATACAGGGCTGAGGAACTCTCCAAGGAATATGGATGCACAGCATTCATATACCTGTGTACCATTTGAACTTGTGCTGGAGCAGGTGAAATATTATGAAAATGTTAATAACAATTGATTCAAAAGAATGGGGTGGAAATTATGCTGACAGCAGAGAACCACTTCTGTGAGGAAAGTGCAGACGAACATCTAAGCTATTTTGGCCATGTTAGTATTTTTGTAATGTGTGTTATAACAGGTGGCCTAGGTCAATCAACAAAGTATATCTGACATGAATGGTCTTCTGGGATGTCACATCATATGGTTTCAGAGCTGGGTATGATTTGGAGAAACCCGTTGCCTCCATCTTTGCTCTTCTACCTTGAAGATGGAGCCAGTAGGTTCCTCTAAAATGTTTGTACCTATATATCAAACTACAAGGTGTCACATTTTGGAAGATGGTTATTTTCATATGTATTGGCATGATAAGCCCAGATTTCATAGCATATTTATTTCATTTATTCGCCTCCTACAAAGCGTCAGATGACTGCCTAGCACAGCAACAGGGCAATGACAATACCATAGGATATGTTGTATTTTGAGAGGAAGAAGTCAACAATAAATGTGACCCATATGCAATGCTCAACAAAGCTTACACTGGCAGTGACGGAATAGTTTGTTGGAAGACCAGATTTTTATTGTCATATTTGCACTACAGGACTGGACTGTTTAGAGCTTTAGAGGTGAAGGTGTGTTAAGGTCATTACCATTTCAATGGTTATTCCTTTTATTTTTATTCTGATCCAAATAGCTTATCTTACATTAAGAACTAAACCTGTTGCTGGTGTGATTTAGTGTGAACCCTTTATTGTTTTGGCTTCTTATATGACTAGCCTTTCAAGTATGGTTCTACTTTGGTTTGGATTCTCCTTGTTGCCAATGGTGGTTAGTGTAAGTTTGCAGATCTTTTCCATCCTTATCTGGATTGCACTGATGAAGGCTCCAAGTATGTAAACATCACTTTGGTCCATGCTGGTCAGAATCATGTCCACCTTCAGGGGAAGCGTGTTCCATCTTCTAGCAATCCTTTCGTTTGTGAACCTTTGACATTGCCAGATGACATGGTCTGCAGTTTCTTCAGATAATTCACATGTGCAGATCCCATTTGGCAAAATATTAAAACATGCCAGACTATGTGCCAGGCCTGTGTGGCCACTTTTGAGGTGGCGGTTTGAGGTCACCACTCTTCTATTTAGTTCGCATTTGGGAAACCAGGGGTCGGGCTGTTAACAAGGAACAATGTAAAGTTATTTGTCCCCTGACACATTCCACCTCCTGGTGCTGCAGCTGAGATTCTTTGGTTTTGGCTCTCTCTCTCGTGCCTGATACTATGCTTGGTTAGCTCATTGGCTTTCTCATTCCCAGTATTCCCTCTATGGGCTGGGATCCAATGTATCTTAATGTGCGTCCCATTTGCCTTTGACTCCTTGGACTGCTCTTTAATGCAGAAAATGAGTGGGGATCTTTTTCCAAAGATTTCTGACGATGACATCGCAGTCCTGGAGTCCATGAATATACTAAAGTTACAGCCCTGTATTTCGTTGATACAGGTGAGAGACTCGGAGATGGCCATGGTCTCCAAAGTTAAGATGGAGGCGATTTGTCATGTCCTGTCGCCCCAGCCTTTGTCCTCATAATAATTGAAGATGGAACTCCCCGCGAAGGGCCTTTCCTCTGATTTGGAACCATCTGTGAAGAGGGTCCTGGTTTGATTCAGCTCCTCCTCAAAAAAGGTCCCAAAGAGAAGGGGGGGGGGTGGCTTTCATGATGCGGCGAACTTTGTTCCTTTATCGATCCCGACACTTTGTCTGCTCATGATTGAGATAAACGTATAGTTTCACAACACAGTGGTACCGAGGCTTTTCCTATTAAGTGCCCTTTAGGGACAATATACCTAAATGGCTCAATGAGGGGTGCCTTACCTACCTTATCAGTGTTCACTGTCCCCCTCCAGTCTATAATCTTCTATAGTGTGGTGTGGAGAGGGTAAGCCTCATTCATGAGCATTTCCATGAAGAGGTTGCAAGCTAAATAGCGGAATCAAATCTCTAGAGGGGGATGTTGGCCTCCCCAAATTCAATGCTTTCAGGTGTTGAGAACCTTAGTCCCAGAGCCCTTTTAAGTGCTTCTTTCACCTGGATTTCCTCAGTTAGGACCTTCTGCGAGTTAGAGAAGCTGTGAATGAGAAAGCTTCTATATTCAGTTCTTGTTCTCTCCAGCAATTTGTAAAGATGAAGGAGAATGAGGGGATCCGCTCCCCACCATGTGTGTCTCAGCCAATTCAGGATGTCAATTGCCCCAGCCATTTTTCTCGTTGTCTCTGCCACCCACTGTTTACATTTCAGAGCCACGTGAATTGGCAATCCTAGAAATTTAGCCTCTTCTGAATTAGGAGCAACATAGTCTCTCATTTTAATGGATCAGCAGTCGTCATGGTCTGTTTCCCTCTTTCCCCTTCGTTTCTTGTAAAAGTCTCAGTTGTTCAGGTTGAACACAACAAATTTTGTTTTCTGAGGCTCAGATTCTGCAGTGTCTCATCAACTTTATTGACATCATCTTCTATGATCCTTATGCCTGCTTCCTGCGGTCCATCTCAGCTGAACACGCAGACGTCATCAGCAAATTCAAGTACCCTACAACCTGGAAGCAGGTTGTCCCCGAGTTGTGTGATGTGGATGATGTACATTATGTGGCTTAACATAGTTACCTGGGGAAGTAGAGGGCCGCGCCATAGCTCAAGCAGTTAGTCGCTGGCTTCCCACCACGGCGGCCCGGGTTCGACCCCGGGTCTGTTCAAGTTGGATTTGTGGTGGGCAAAGTGGCACTGGGGCAGATTTTCTCCGAGTACTTTGGTTTCTCCTGCCAATCTTCATTCCACCAATTGCTCCACAATCACCCTCACCTATCATCTGGGGTTGGTACAATAGGCCAGAAGTGGCCGCAGTACAAGTGACTTAGTCCCACCCCACTAGCAATAAAAAAATTAATACCTGGGGAAGTCCTCTGTGTGTAACACGTTATTACATCTAGGCCACCATATTTGAAGTGAAACACTCTTGGAGTCCAGGTTCCAGATCTTCCAGATCAAGGCTTGTAGGTTCGGAGGAACTCCTACTTTTTATGCCTTCTCGTCCAGGATGTCCGTGAGCACGTTATCATAAGCTGCTTTCACGCCCAGGAAGGCCACTGTCGCCACTGCGGCCCCTTGTCTTTTATGAAGGCGTTAATGACCTCCGCATACATCATACTTGGGTTATTTGTACATGATTTGCCTTTGCGGAAGCCGAAATGAGAACCCGGGAGATCTTGATCTTTGATGTCGCTCCAGCCACCACAGAAGTCGATTGTTGACCACTCTTTCCAATAGTATACGAGGCCAATGAAATGAGTCTCAGTCTTACACCGTCCCCTTTCTTTATGAGGAAAATTTCATACTGAGATCATTCAGTTGTATAGGTTCTCGAGGATAATTTACCGTGTTTCGCCATCTGTGGAAAATTTCCTTTAGTTCTGGAACGGAAGGCACGGAAGTAGTACATGACACGCATCCGTTAATCCGTGGTCCCAACGGACTGGAGATATTGCGTTGAAAGTATGAGTATGTATTCATCAATGTCTGAGATTTTGCTTTGAAACTGTGAAGATAGGTGACCAAGGGACTCACATCATGGTAAAATATCCAAGAACTCTCATGTTTTGCAAACTTTCATACCTTAAAAGCTCAGGACTTCCTGTTTATTAAAGTTTGTTCTGCATTATTTTCAGGCTTCTTACTCTGAAGACCAGCTGGCAGGTAAGTAAAGTAGTTTTGAAAGGAGGTCAACTTATATGGTGTGAGTCACTTTTGACACGCCCATGACCATTCTTTGCCATATTTGGAGATGAATTGAAAGTTAAAGAACTGGTTTTTTTGTTGTTTTGTGTAATGTTTACCGTGACACAGATAGATGCATTTGTGATTTAAGTTGAACTGAAGCTGTCTTTGTGATCTTTGCTCCATCTTAACGGAAGGAGAATTTAGCGCAATAATGTATGGTTATGAAGTGGCAAATAAAATTATGACGTCAGTCGAAGGTATATTTTTAGGCAGGCATTATCGTTTTAATTCAATAGGTATAATTTAGTGAGTACTGAAAGAAATTTTACCCCCGTGTAAAGTTTTGTCATTTCAGAATTTCAGGAAGCATTCCAGCTCTTTGATTCTCGTGGGGATGGAAAGATCCATGTAACACAGATTGGAGATGCACTTAGAGCTCTTGGACAGAATCCCACAGAGTCAGATGTAAAAAAGTTTACACATCAACATAAGCCAGGTAAGAATTCCAGTCACCATTTTCCGTAAAATCAGGTGTATGTTCCTATAATTTGTAGTAAGTAGGGAGATGAAGCTACACTGTGGATGCTTGAAACATTACTTGATAATTATATGAACCTGTGCAGTCTGATGAGACTGAGTCATGTGCCACATGCAGGTGTTAGGTTACATAATTGCCAATTAATTACCAATTTCTGTAGTATTTTGATTACACTGATGGCTGATGTCTTTAACTGTTTAATGGTAGTTGTACTGTATGAACTTGATAATGGATACCCACCTAGCATATCCATTTGGCATTGTTACCAAGCTGGGAAAGTTAAGTACTGTTGATGTAGGAAGGTGTATGTAGGTATAGCCAACCCAACAGCCTGTAATGCCACCAACTGTGGTGGTTATAACATGAATGTACCTTTATTAAAAAAAGGTTTTTTTTTTCCTGCTGTTGCTATCTACAATTACAGATGAACGAATTAGCTTTGAGGTGTTCTTACCAATCTACCAGGCCATTTCAAAGAGTCGAAGTTCAGACACTGCTGATGACTTTATTGAGGGGCTTCGTCACTTCGATAAGGATGGCAATGGTTTCATCTCCTCAGCTGAGCTTCGCCACCTCTTGAGTACTCTAGGTCAGTTAACTGAAATTTCAGTTTGTTTTCTTGAAATTTAACAACTGTAATCCAATGTTTTCCCATCAGAACCTTTTAAAATGATAATTCAGGTAGTTACATATGGTTCTAGCTGAGTAATATAAAAAGGTAAAGCCCCTGTGCTTCATTAAGTGAGCACAATGCTGTGAAGACATGGGGGAGTGGAGGTATAGTTCCATTATTCTTGACCTCGGAACTAGATGTAGGTGAGTGGTCAGCTTCATGCCACGGACACTTTACACTTAGAGGAATTGCCCCTACTACTCATTGGATAGGAGATTTAGTGGGCCCCAGAGTCCATCTGGATGTAATTTGTATCACTAGTATCCTTTTTTGATGGATAAGAACTTTTCTGCATTATTATAAATCCCCCTTATGATCTGATGGTATATGGTAGATCTATTTAATATGTGGAGCATTATATTACTGCTGTCAGTGGCAGTGACATAAACTTGTTTTGGACTTGTGTACATTTGGTTTATTATAAAGGAAACCCAACAGCAATTAGGGGAATGTTTACTAACAATTATTGGGACATTGTGCCTCTAATTCTTTGAGATGCATAAGTCCCCCCTTAACTCATGAATTAGATACAGACCATTTATTGCGTGATCCTTCGTCTGCAATAAGCTCTCAACAGACAGACCAATGTGGGGTCAGTCTTTAATCTAGAGTGAAGTCTCAAGCTGTAGATTTACATGCCTAACCCTTGTCTTCATCTGATGCATACCAGCTTACCGTAATGATCCAGAAGACCAACAAGTGACTACTGTTCTTGGCTCCGTTGTTATGGTCCTGAGTTTGATAACTAGGATATCTGTGAAGGCCATCACGTGGCTCCCCTCTTGCAGCAGTTGTTGCACTCCCACATGCGAGTCTCTGTCTCGTGCACAGTTTTATTTGTTTAGTATATAGTTAATTTGAATTAATAAAAATAAAATAGAAAAAAGTAAACTACAATTTTTTTGTAAGATTGACTGTGAAGAATGCCGTCTTATGGGCTGTGGTGCCGTATAGATATTGTATAAACCAACGTTTTTGAGGGACGTATTGACTACATCTTCAGGCTAGAAGAAATAAGAAGAAATGCACAAGCAAGGAACCAGCATGAGAAGATGGCTGCAGCCACCTGCTCACGCTGTTTTTATGGTCTCATGTCTTCTACCCTAAAGACAGAGGCGATACTTTCCTCTGAAATGTCGGTTTATACAATATCTACATGGCGCCACATCCCAGAAGATAGCATTCTACAAATTTTTTGTTATTTTTGGGAGCTTATAAATTTGATGTCTGCTGTGGACCTTTTTCTAAAATCGCTGCCCAAGCCAACCGAGTTGTTGCTCACAAGACACCATGGCTTAAGTACTTGCATCCTTGGCTTAGAGGGAAAGTTACTCCCCTCCTATTACTGCATAATCTTCCTTACTGGGAGTTCTACTGAAATCAACAAGAGTGCATTAAACATTACCAATGTACTGGTGGGTGTGAATACCCTTATAATATAATATTCATCCCCCAGAATTGTCTGGTGCAATTTACTGAGTTCTTTTTCATTTCTACCACTTAAAGAAGAACCTTTTTACGTTTCCTATTACTAGTACTCACACTTTCTCTGGGCTTTGGCTCCCTTGCAACTGACCAGCTGGGGAAGGTTCAAAAGAAGTCAGAAGCTCAAATCTGCTGTGCTGTTCTACACAGAAAGAAGGATCTTGAGTAGAGGCTTCTGCATCTGTGTCCAGTTTTGCTCTTACTCCCTAAGCAGATGAGCGGTTAACAATTACAATTAGAGATGTTGACAGCTTTCAGAATGAGAAAAAGTTATATAGCTTCCTTTTCTTGAGGAGCATTAGACTTGTAAGTAACTGCATGTGTTGTTGATCATAGCTAGCGCACAAGTTCAGTACAAAATGGATGAGATGAAAGAATCAAAGATGTGGCTTTGTGATGTGTATTTGTACCAACCGTCTTACAGTGCACACAATTTCACCTTTCTCTTCACTACATGTTTCGGCACTAATGTGCCAAATTCACGTGTGGTTTTGTTTACGTCAAACCATTGCACTCTATGCCATCATGTCTCCTTTATAAAATGATTGAAATGTAAATATGTCATGTATAATAATAAAATTTATATATTAAAACTTTTCAAGATTTATCATATGTTGCACTTCAAATTCGCGAGTTACGTCAATCCTCTCCTAAGGGAGTACTCTTCCTGTATTCTTGTGTATATTGTGTCCTGTGTTGTGTCCTTCCCTTGTGACTGCGTGTGTTGTATTCAAATGGCTTTGTCTATGTACTAAATGGACATTGTGTTTATAAAGAAACTGAACGTTGCAAAGACATTTGGAAAATATGCTTACTGTTGAAATTACCATTCTGTTTCTGCTGTATATAAATATAGCAGAGAACATCAGTGGGGAAAACATACTATCAGATCTAATATTGCTTGTTTTAAGGTTTCTTATTTTTAATTTCTGTGACTCTACTAAAAGTTTCCCCACTGTTAAGTGCATTGTCTGTCACTGTCATTATGTGTTCTTGCAGGTGAGAAATTGACAGATGAAGAAGTGGAGCAGCTGCTAATGGGGCAGGAGGACTCACAGGGTAACATCAACTATGAGGAATTTGTGCGCATGGTGATGTGCGGCTAGGAAATGAATTAGGGGGGACTTTGTGTCTGATGACAGCGTGGAATTGGACTTGGAAGTAATCAGAATTATTTATTGGGTTTGGTTGTCTGATTTCGAACTCTTTCATTTTAAATTACTAAGTGTCTGTTCACAGCCAAATGAGATAATTGCTTTTGTCTTAAATATAACATATTCCATTTCTGATGAGAAGTATTTCGTTCATGAACAGTCACTGATCTTGATTTATGGTGTCTTCCAATTCTGAACAGATAAAAGAGGACCTACAAAGGACACAGTAATAAGTAGCCTATAATATGTATATTTTCTTTATAATAAACAGACTTTTTTGTCAAAGTGTTCTAAATTTTGGGTGTCAGTGAATCCTGATTAATTTCCAAAGGGTTCTGATGATAATGTATGACACTCAGAATTACTAGGTTTTTGGGCTTTCCATTTTCAGACGAGGGAGCAGATACCTACTCTGTTGAGTTCCATAGAAAGAGGTAAACTTAATCACTGGACAACCCATGTCAGTATAACTACCGCTATACAAGCATAAATACTTGAGACCACTCTTTGTTGAAGGGAGATAAAAGGAAAATATGCAATATAAAATTGTGATAAAGCATGCACAGACCTGAAACTAAGATAGAAATGAAGGTGACAGTTTTACGCAACAAACCAAGTCCCTGAAAACCAATGCATAGGATTAAATGTACAAGTTTGTGAAACCATTTTGTGGTTACCAGTAGTGCCTACTGTGTAGTAAAAACTGAACACTTGGATCTAAAATCTAGTTGAAACCCATGACAGATGTCACATGATACTGATCTTCCCTGTGAATTGGCAACCTCGTTACTGATAAGGGGGATCCAGATGAGAGAAATGTCCAAACTGGGTTGGCTAATCGGATTGGTTAAGCATGCCATATGGGCTGATTCCATATATTTCCTATACCTGCTGTTACTTTCAATTTCCAAAATCTTAACTTCCCCAGCCTACCCTATGCCCTTCTTCATAGGCATTTTGGACAATGGACTCGGTTTGTTGCATAAAATTTTCACCTTCCTTTGTATCTTAGTTTCAGGTCTGCATGCTTTATTACAATTTTTATTTCATATTTGCAATGGTCTTAAGCCCCAGATGGATGCTTTATTCCAAGACAGACTTCCTGTGGTACCCAACAGAGTAGGTGTTTCCCCCTCATTTGACGATGGAGAGACAGATCCAGTTTCTGAAATGTGTTTTTATTTTTTAAAAATACCAGAGGATGCTTGAAGTCCAAAAACCCAGTAATCCTGGTCTATTTGTCAGAGCCTCCCAAAGGAATATCCAACCTTACTGTGTACCACACAGTTCTGTTGTCCCTACCATTACAGCATGTAGAACAAGAGATAAAAAAATTCTAGATATCTGCCCTGGACAGGAATCAAATTTGGATTCCCCAGTTTCATCGCTTCTTATGACTAGCAGGGCTACAGTGGAGGTATTTGACCCTGTCTTCACACAGGATCATTCCCTCCAACTTACCCAGCCCTAGTTGTATAGCCTTGGCACAAACTGTATAGAGGACACCACGTCCAACAGTCCAATTTCTCTGTTGCTGCAGAAGATTTTTCATTCATCATGTCACAATATAGTTGTGAGCAGAAAGTATTCGCATATGATACCTTTATATAGCATTGATCTTGGAGAAAATGCCATAGAAAGTTTTGTAGGAAGCATCCTGACAGTAGTGTTACATAGACTAATGATTCACAATATTGTAACAAAATTACATTGTATGGGATTGCTGCTGGATGAAAGTGCAAAAAGACATGTACTGACTGAAGGGAAACTTCAATTAGAAGCAAGTCACAAGAATTTGTAAAATTTTTTGGCTCTGCAGTGGATTGGTAAAATGTACAGCTTACGTTGGTACAAAGTCATTTAAGTTATGGCCGTAACAAAGCTGCAACATTTTGCCTCCAGATTGTAAATGAAGAATTCAGAGCTGCATATCATTTTATGAATTGTTATTCAGTGGACTTCTTTACCTAGAACTTATGTTTGTTCTGACAATGTGAGATTCAATTTAAGTTGTTGCATAAAAACAAAATAAATATTGGAGCACACAAAATATTCATGCTATTCATGAAGAGGTACCATTGTGATTTAAAAGTCTGGGTTTGGTTTGCAGTTAGTGCATGGGGGATAACTGGGCTCATGTTTGTGGACAGAATAATATGTTATGTAGGAACTAATCTCTCACCCTTCTTGGCTCAGTTGACTTATGAAAGAAAAGTTGTTTGAGCATTCTGTGAAAGATAGTGCAACAGCACACACTGCAAACAAGTCCATAAATGCTCTTGAGAGTGTCTGGCAAATGAGTTATAAGTTGAGGATTGTGGCCTCTGAAGTCACCCAGTTTAAGTCTTCCTTAATTTTATTTAAGGGGTATGTGAAGAATCCACACATTTTGGAAAACTTTATGAAAATACGATGCATGAAATTTCCACTGTTCCCATGCAGCAACTTCAGAATTTTCCTAGACACATACTCTCATGATGTGAGGCATGCTTGAAGACAGAGAGAGGGCCATCACTTTGAGACTTCTCTGAAGATAATGCAACAATAGAAAGCATTCAAAAAGGAGATGGCACAACACACAGCAGGAGAGAATTCAACCCACCAAATCAAACACACATGTGCATGAAGGGAACATATATTATCAACAGAAGACAGCAGTTTCCTCGCCCAATAATTTTAACACACGATGACCACATTGGTCAAAACATGTAGTGATAATCTTTTGAAGTGTATAAATTTTAATAAATTTTATAGAACATAGTGTTGCACATGAGACTGTAAAAAACTTATTTATACTAACAGAATTAATAATTCCGAAGCAGTCAATCCATATCCTAGTCTCAGTACCTCAAATTGATGAAAATTAAACCATACTTGACATAACCCAACAACCAAATTAACCAGTATGAATCTGCCATGCATAATATAAGTTACCATGTTATAATCTTACTTTATGTATCTTTGCTGCCAGTTAAGTCATCACCCAAAATCAAGCTATTCTCTGAGTTGCTAAGAATTTCCCAAAGTTATGCTGATTTCCGCAACTTACATCAGCATATCCTGTGTTACCTAAATTGGACTCATTATTATTGAGAGCTACCTACAGCCATAGATTACCCACAGCTGTATCAAGTGACCTTCACATACTACAAAGTAATTGGCTTAGGTCAGCAGTCAGAATTGGCACTCTTGTTTCCACCCTTAGACGAACGTACACATTTTAGTGTTTATTTCTATTCACTTAACACATCAGTGGATGGTGATAAATGCTTGACAAGTTTGAATAATGTTTCTGAAAACATTTTGATTTGTATAATAATACTGTCACCTGTCTCATCAAAATATTTCCCATGGATTCTGAAGACATGAATAATGGAAGGGCTGCATTGGGTTGTAATGAAAATTATATGCAGGATATGGCTCTAGGTTTTGCTTTGATTTCTGCAATGAAGTATATAAAACTGCTTTCACTGTGAAATATTTTCATTCTAGGGGTATGCATACAATCCAGTTATGCTTAACAGTGTTACCTTAAGAGTAAATATTGAAACAAATACAAAACATAGATTTTAAGCCATTCTAATTAAGTAATTTTCATTAAAGTGATAACAGCTGATGGCAGAAAGGCTATTGTTGACAGGTTCACTTCCTGGCAGAGTTAGAAGTGGAGGCCAGTTAGAATACATCCACCATAGCCTTGGAAGTCGTAGAATGCAATAAAAATGGAATCGGGTACCTGTAGGTATAACTCGGACACTCTGTGACGGGGGTACATAAATACAGGGACCTAGTCCTCCAGATTAGGGGTTGGATGGAAGAATTACAACCTTGCTCTGTAAAAAAAATCACTGTTGCAAAACCCAAAGATGTGAAAACTTGATGGCCTGATTTAAGAAACAAATCTGGCAGAATCTTGTGACGAAGGCCGTTGCTCAAAAACAGCTGTTCTGACCATAACATTTAGAAGTATCAGCAACCAGTGCACGCAGGATTCTAATGGTACACTATGCTACCATAATTTCATGCAGTGTCATTATTAATTTATTGTATAGGGAGATACAGAGCTGCACCAAAACGTAGCTTCTAGTGCCACCACTGAAGTCCATACATTGTTTATTTTATTGCATCACCATTAACCCTCTAGACCCCAAAAAGTGAACTGACTGGTTCTGTGCTCACTTATGGTGTAACAACTGCAGAAGTTCAGAGTAATTAGGAATGTATTCTTTTTTAGGCAGCTATGATCTTATGGTTGGAGAACCATGGCTTTGGGGGGGGGGGACCAGACATTCATTCATTCATTTCCTTTATTTTCCATATATCCATACAGGTAACAAACCTAGGATGTGGAAGTAGTCCCTTTGAGAATAGATGTGTCCAGATACATATACTAAATTACATGAGTTACATAATTAAAATTACTTACATTGATCAGTTAACATAATATTGTCACATGTTGGGTGTATACGCGACAAATAACTTCACGCTGTATTTGATATAGCGAATTTTATTTCACATTCACTCTTACAATCACACAAATTACAATCTGACATTTACTGCGATCGGCAGTATCACAAATACTACACTGCAAATGCTGGTTGACTGCCTGGCTGACTTGTAACTCGTAACTCGAGAACTTGAGAACTCAGAACTGACTATGAATAGTCCTCGCTGCTCCGTATCTAGCCTCGTTCCGGACAACGCAGAAAACAGCCACGTAATAGGCACCATTGTTGTCTGGCGCTGTGTTTACCGGTGTTTCTGGGAACGCTGTCAGGAGTTCTCTCTCACAACCACTGTTTACCCGCGTTGCATAGCGACCAGTGTGCCGGGACTCGGCTCGCTTCGGCTCCACTCAGCACGTCACCGCCGCCGGGGGCGGGGAGTGGTGTCCTGCATAGCGCAACACGTCACAATATAAAATAAAAAACTAAAGAAGATTTTAATCAATAAACATAATTTAAAAAGGACATTACTATAAAACTTAAATTAATACAATTTTATTTAAATTACCTAAATTAACTGAATTAAATGCATTACAAATTACACACGACCAATTATATTGATAATATTCATTCATGGAATAAAAAGAACGATATAAAATCGTCTTCAGTGCAGATTTAAAACTTCTCTTGTCAGTAGCCAACATTTTTTGTTTGAGGAAGATGATTAAAAACTTTAATACCTGATATGTATGCACCTTTATTGTATTTTGTTAGGTGAATTGCAGGAAATTCTGTATTTATGATTCTGTATTTCAGCATCCTACTGCAATTGTTCATATTAGCGTCCATTTGTCTACAATCCGTCTAAATTGCAACACTTTTTATTTTATTTCAATTAAGATTGTGTCGAAACTGCTGCGCTGTTTCATTGTTCCAATTCATTTTAAAACTACAGGCTGTAGTCTTCTTTTTAATTAAAATGAGATAAAATTCTTTTATAATTTGTTACTTATTGTTTTGCTTCACTCAGGGTGTCGTCATTTCTGTAAAATATAAGATGTTTTCCTTGGCAGCTTGTTCCTCACGTTAGTTATTTTCACCTGGTTTGTGTTTCCTCCTCAGCGTGTGGTGTTGTCTTTACTAGTAAACTAGACTAGTAAAGACAACACCACACGTTGAGGAGGAAACACAAACCAGGAGAAAATAACTAACATGAGGAACAAGCTGCCAAGGAAAACATCTTATATTTTATGGAAACTACAACACCCTGAGTGAAGCAAAACAATAAGTAACAAATTGTAAAAGAATTTTATCTCATTTTAATTAAAAAGGAGACTACAGCATGTGGTTTTAAAATGAATTGGAACAATGAAACAGTGTAGCAGTTTTGACACAATTTCGACACAATCTTAATTGAATATATATATATAAAAAAAAACACCTGAAGATGGCCGTTTGAGGCTGAAACATGTAGTGTTAGAGAGTGTATTGAAGTGTAAAATAAAAAGTGTTGCAATTCAGATGGATTATAGACAAATGGACGCTAATAAGAATTGCAGGTAAATATAAATTATTGAAAACTCTAGTTTTGTATTTGTGAATCTCATTGTTAAAATTAAATAAATGTTTATTATTAATTGTGTATAAAAGTAATGAATATATGTACTGAGAGTAGAACATCATTATTTCCATTACATATGAACTGCCCATGGATTTTTCAGAGAAAAATCAAAATTGGCAGAAGAAAGAAATATACCAATTCCTAATACAAAAAAAAATGAAATTATTTACAAAGAATTATTATTCTATCCCAGATAAGTTGCATGAGGCTCTTCTTGCCTTGAAAGTTTAGGTGCAGGGCATGAATAGTGTAATCTTCCCTTGCAATAGATGATGTCCATAACACCAACATGAGACATAACTCCTCAACAGGGCCTGATCAAACCATAGATTCATGTTCCTAACTCTCCAATTCATCTATGGCTTGTCATACCTCTCAGAGAGGATGGCAAACCCCACACCGGTGTTTGATGTCCTTGCAATGAAGCTGAGATCATTTTGAATTGAATAATGATAGTTTCTCTTCAGGCTACTTCCTAACCCTCCCACTATAATAATATGATCTTGCTTGGTAAGGCCTTTACCAAGTTTCCCTATATCAACAACCTCTGCTAGAGGAGAAAATACTGTACACATCAAAATTTAGTTTCTAGGTTTTCTTGAAGCATGGTTCCAATTCCCCTACCATGACTGCTTCTCAGTAATAAGATCTTTTATTTTAATTTTTTTCTGTCTTCACTATGAATGTTTTTAGTTCCCTGCCTTTATGCTTCAACAGAATAAACAGGTGACCAGTAATGTGCTGGTTTACAAGACAGTTGTGTGACGCTATGACGAATGCACAGCTCTTCACTGCTCCTACTCCTGGGGAGTGAAGCGCGGCCGGCACGTAAGGCTGACAACCTTATCGCCATCTTTGAGCTGATTGTCAAGGTAATGTGGGACCCTTAACGTCTCACAACCCTATGGGCCTTCACGGCCTGTTACAGGGATAGCTTTACTTTTTTTTTTTTACTTTTTATCATCCTTAGAATGAATGCGGTAGCTAGGCTTATACACTTGGTTGTCAACTTAACGACAGACTTCCGTTCTGACCGACAGGTCATAAGTCGATCTGGTCATATGTTGGCAATATATTTATTAATAGTATTTTTTAACCTTTCTAATCTTTTTATCATCTTTATAATTTATTTTTAAAAACTTTTACATTTTAATCATCTTTTATTTTTCATTTTAAATACAGTAATGTTTTTATCTTTTACTTAGAAATACTGTACATATCTTCATTTCTACGCCTAGGCTATCTGTACATACTGTAATGTAAACACAAACATACAATCTAAAATTAATGTAAAAATTAATATAAATGACCATCAGGGTCATGTTCTTGGGTTAAGGTAGGGAACATGCTGAGCTTTGTTTGAACAGTTTGTTTCTTTTCTTCTTCATATATCTCACAATAACAATGCACAGCATCTTGAATGATATGTTCAACCTTTGTGAATTGTTGAACATTAGGGTCCATTGCTTCAAAACTGGCGAGAGCTTTATTCAGTTGTGAAAAAGAATCTGATTAACCGTTTGCAGTGAATTTCCTTTCTGGCTCTTTTTCTTTCTCTTCTTCCTATCTCACTTTTTCTTCTGCCACTTTCTGTGCTTCCAATTCAATCAATTCTTCATCTGAAAGTTCTTTTGTCTCAAAATCTAGCAACTCCTTTATGTCTTCCAGTTCACATTGTAATCTTAGATTTTTTTGTAAGTGTAACTATTTTTTCTATAATCACTTCCAGTTCCTGTCCTTTTTCAAGGCCTTCAAATGTATTCGCATAACATTTTAGGCACTTTTTTCCAAATTCCAGACATACTCTTCTTTGTTACACATTCCCATGAGGTTGAAATATTCTTGATACATTGAAAAATGTTGTACTGCTTCCAAAAGTCTCACAAAGATAATTCAGCATCAGAATCTATTGCTTCGATGGCTTGTGCGAATGTCGTTCTGAGGTAGTGAGCCTTGAATGCTGAAACTGCACCCTGATCCATGGGTTGAATGAGAGCAGTTGTGTTAGGTGGCATAAAACCCATGCTAACATCTTGATGGAGGTCGTCCAGATGAGAGGGGTGGCCAGGGGCATTGTCCATAACCAATAAAATCTTGAAAAGGATACCTCTCTACCCACAATATTCACGAGCCTGGGAAATGAAGCAGTTAATGAACCAGTAACAGTGCCTGAATCATCAAAGCTTTAGGGTTTGAACAGTAGTAAACGGGAAGTGTGTGCTTGTTGATGTGCTTAAATGCACGAGCATTTTCTGAATGATAAATGAGAAAAAGCTTCAGCTTAAAACCCGCGGCATTCCCACCAAGCAACAAAGTCAACCGATACTTGAAAGCTTTGAATCCTGGCATCTTTTTTGCTTCTTGGTGTATGTTCGTACTATTAGGCATGCGTTTCCATTGCAAGCCGGTTTCATCTACGTTGAATATTTGTTCCTGTGGATAACATTATTCTTTGATTAAAGCGTAGAAACTATCAACGAATTTTTGGGTTCCATCTTCATCTGCACTTCCTGATTCTCCTGTGACACGTACATTATGGAAAGCAAATCTTTTTTTTTTTTTTTTTTTAACGCTTGAACCACCCAGTACTAGCCTGAAAATCTTCTGCGTAATCGTCTCCGGCGCGTGATTTTAAACTCTGAAACAGACTTCTCGCCTTCGCTTGCACTGTTTGAAGGCTCATGAGTGTAATTTTTTTGTATTAAATCTTCCATCCACATAAACAACAATTTCTCCATTTAATGAAGACTTCATAGGTGCAGAACCTAACACAACTTCTCCAATTCTTTCTTTGTCCTTAAGTATCGTCTTTACCGTGGAATGTGGTAACTTCAAGTCACGTGCCATCGTATTCACTTTCTTTCTGCCTCCATACTGATGGATAACTTTCATTTTACACTCTAAATCAATTTTCCTTGACTTCTTAGCTGGCGTATCTGTGGATGAAGGCATTTTCCTTTTACTAGACATTTTATGGGTTGTATTTCAGTAGAATTTTAATTAATATACCACCGGCAACAATTGCTTGGAAGCGACTTAGTGTATATGAGAGAGAGAGAGGATGCCTGCGTGTGTGGGAGGCCTGTGTTGCCGGATGCTCCCATAGTTATCGTACGTGCACCTGCCTGACGGTGCCCTAGGGCTCCCGGCATTGATGTGCCTCAGTACCACGTCCTGATTTATTATTAATTTATCAATTTTTTTGTGGTCGTAAGTGGACGACCAAGTGTACTGCAATCTATAAGGATACAATTGTGCTCTAATGTTTTGTATTTTTCGCATTTTTGACGCCGCTGGCGTCAGTTCACTTTGTTTCAAGGTGGTCAATTTTAGCCAATCAGAATTCCGCATTACTAGTCCATCCGCTTAGTTCCTTCAACTGTTGAAATCTGGTAGAAATATTGTGTGGTCTTACCAATGAGAATCCGGAATTCAGAACGGGAGGGTAATGACGTCATGATCGATTGGCAACGAGAAGTTGTTTTTAGAAAGGAATTGTACTTCCTGTGCTCCGCTATACTGTACATCCTGTACACGCTAGACCCGCTCGACACGTACTCCACAATTCTGCGATGCTTGGCGTTTATCGTGTATACCGTGTATACAATTATCAGTTCTAGTTCCTGTGTTTGTTTGGAGAGCGGAGCTGGTGGACTGGAGGGACTGGAGCGGGATTGAGCGTTTTGGTATTAGCTGGATTAGGAGGCACACCAAACGCCATATTTGTGACTGGTAAGGGCATTGTGATTATTGTACGGTTAAGAGGAAAGATAGATAGGTTATCTCATGTGTTTAAGTTGTTAGATGACTCGTAAGAGTATTTTTCTCTTTCTGTTAACAAGTTTGTGTTAAAAAATGCACTCTGAAAATGGCATGAGTCTCTACAACTCCCACGTGTTACACGCCTTTGATGTTTTTTAAGATGTAGTATTGCATAGTGGGAGTTTTGGTATTTGTATACTATATTAATTTGTATGTGGTAATATATTTCACTTGATGCAGTAGAGAAGAACGTGTTAAAACATGTAAATGTGACATTCTGTATCATGGTGCACATTGAAGGAAATTGATATTGCAGGCAATTATCTTTTAGTGTGGTGCGTGTTCTTCCGCTGTCGAAATATAGATGTGTGTATGTGCATTTTTTCAGATGTTTGAAGTGGAGAGGCATGTTTGACCGTAAATGTATCTTTTTACAGGTGTTGGAAGTGTTGGACATTACTTAGTCTGTGTAACTGCCTCATGTGTGATGCAAATGTATTTTTATGAACCACGCATATTTTAGGAGTATGTAATTGTGAACTTACAATTCAGAACAGCAAGCAGTGCATGCTGGTAGAAGGGGGTTTTAAGTTAGCATTCTTCCAGTTTTGACTTGTATCTGAAGAAATGTGAGAGAACTGAAAATTCGTGAGTTGTAGTTGGATCGAGTGCCATCAGTACTGTTGCAATAGCTTCTCCCCGACCCCAGTTTGTTGATTATCTGTAGTAATAGGTTTTCAGCAGCAGTAAATTAGTTTTAGCACAAATTAAATACATAAAATAAAAAAGAAAGTAGTTATAAAATGGGCACTGTTATTGTGGTATTATGTCCTATATGGGCCATTGACAAGGTTCAGTACCTCCATAGTATTGATGATGCTCTTATTACCTACCAATTAACTTATTGCTTATGGTCAGAAGTTTGCAGATGTAAATAATTTCCCATGTAGACATTGGGTATTTAGTTTAATTCTTTATTGTTTGTAGCTGCAATGGCAGAACAACAACCTGGAGGAAGAGCACGGGGTCGTGCTCGTGGCAGAGCTCGTGGGCAACAGCAGGGACAGACTGGAATACGCCCTGGGGAGGAGCGTACTGTGCCACAGATACAGCCACGCCCCCCTCCAGGGTTTCAGCAGCAGCCTCAAGGTGCAAGACCTCGGCAGTTGGAAGCAAGACCACCACAACAGCAGCAGCAGCAGGTGGGAGATATATGGTTCTTGCTTGTTATTCAACTAGTATGCAATCAAATGCTCTGTTTGAAAACAGTTTGTGGATGAAGTCATATCTTTTTCCATTCAGGGATTAAGTTTGAGTAGTATATATCATCTTGAAAATGTATAATGCATTATATGAGTGAGTACAAACAAACAAAAAAATACAAAGTCTCTGGTTTTAGTCTGGAAGTGAACTATACAAACTGAGCAACTGGCACTTGTTGGTGAAGTTAGTGCCACATTTATTGGATAGAGGGTGTCGCATGGTCAGCGCAACGAATTCCCACAGCCATTCATTTCGGTTTTCTAGACCAGAGCCGCTATTTCTTTGAAATAGCTCCTCAATTATCCTCGTAAGGATTAGTGGACCCCATTCCAGACCCACTACTTCTCAGAAAATGTGGCAGCGGTGGGAATCGAACCTGGACCTCTGGATCTGTAGCTAGGAACTCTGACCACTAGACCCCAGAGGTGAATTACTACAATTATTTTCCCTTGCCCTAATTCTGTCAGCAGATGGAAAGTTTGATATACACTTGCTTCTTTGGGTAAATTTGAGAGATGCAATTTATTTAGTCCTTTTAATATTGTCTTTTGCACTAATAGTGTACTACCATGTTTGCAGGCTTAGTGTGAAGGACAAACAGTGTGAACGATTTGGAAATGCATGTAAGGAGTTGGCTGTGCAGACATTTTGCTGTCCATGCAGAGTTACAGAGTTGGTGGTGAAATGTTCATGTCCATTGTTATTTTGCAGGTTGGCCCTGCTCTGCGTAGCGGAAGGTCACTTCATCGTGTCAGTGCCCATGGGGACCCCCAGCCAGGGGATGGTGGTCTGGCTGGACAAATGAGGCAAATGTCGATTGGTGAGTGCAGGTGTATAGTGCTAGAGAGTAAGAGGCATTTGCAGTAGTTTGAAAGTATTTGCAGACTTAATCTGTGTTCAGTTAAAGTTTAAAGTTTGAAGACAAAAATTCTTGAACATGTATTTCGTAAATATAGTACTGGCAGTGACCGCCTCGGCGGTCTAGTAGCCAGAATTCCTGGCTACAGATCCAGAGGTCTTGGGGTCGATTCCTGGCACTACCAGATTTTCTGAGAAGTATTGGGTCTGGAATGGGGTCCACTCAGCCCCGTGAAGATAATTGAAGATCTATTTCAAGGAAATAGCGGCTCTGGTCTAGAAAACCGACATTAATGGCCATGGGGAATTGTTGTGCTGACATGACACCCTCTATCTGCTAAAGTTGGCAGTAACTCGCCGACAAGTGGCGGTCGCTTGATCGGTATAGTTCGCTTGCAGACTACAGGCCACGGAATTTGTTTTTGTTGTAGTATTGGTATTGTAATGTAAGGTGTTGTAAATGTCTGTTTTTATCCATGTTGAACAATTAGAGCATCGCTTCACAAGAAATTGAAAGTAGTTATTTTGGAAATTTCTTAAACTTATCTTCACAGGTGTTAGTGTAATTTAATATTGATAATCTGTTTTGATACACTTGACCAAACTATGGTGGGAGATTGTGTTGTAACGTTACCGCAAGTTGTAAGTGGTTTTGCTTTTGTGATGATCCTCATTACGACTGCTAACCTTTATAAGTCAGCATTTAAATTCTTTATACTGTGACATGTTNAACCATCTCTACGGCGTCTTCGGTAACGTAAACACGTTACAATACACATGTTCATATTTGGATTGAATTGAGGTTAAATGCTGCAAAATGTATTTCCTTCATTAGAGCTTTTATCTAGAAAGTCCAAATTAAAACTAGATTATTAACTGTTAATTCATTTACCTGTATTCCTAGTTCTAAAATAACCATTTTTTTATATTTGTAGTTTAAATTCCTTTAAGAATGATTATGAGATTAAGTATGTGTTTCTTTTCTATAATCTTCAAAATACAGGAAATAATAATTGTTTTACATGGAACTGTGCCATGCTGTAGTCTGGTAACCTGGTTGTGATTCACTCTGTTAGGCTAATAGTGTCAGGGCCCATGTTAAACAGCAGGTGAGTGAAACATATTCTGTTCTAAGAATACGAACAGTTTTTTTTACAGGTTATCTGAATGTTCATAGATGTAATAAGAATGGCTTATAATGGCTGCTTTTTGGGAGAACACAGCCAGTATTGTCATTACATAACTGACACTGTATTGTACCACAGTTTAACCTTTAACGTACGGACTTTTAAATTGCCAGCAGCACTCTGCGGCCGATATTTAAATCGCCCTAATTATTTAACATTGCAAACTTTCAGAAAAAAATCCATATTTTCCATTCAATGCAACATACAAATGCAAACTAAAAACAACCTGAAAGACAATAACATTTTCTACATATACACAAAAGAGCAATTTTTACAAACGAAAATTAACTGTGATTATTTTGTCATTATTGCAAAATATAATCTTTATTATATATGTTATGAAATTCCAAAGTACTTACCCGTTGTTTTTTCTTCAACTTTGAGTCATGGTGATACTGTAAATATAATCACTATATATACAATAATATTTTGTTCAGGCTGTACACGAGTTTGAACTGCGTCGCTTCACAGTTTACGATACTCTCTGACGCGCGTGGCACTTCTCGAAGCAGTCCATCTCACACAAAGCGACATCGCACTTTTTACAATAGAAGAGCGTGCTCCTGCTTTTCTTATTTAGCGAAACACACGACATCTTTGTTTCCCTTTGGTTGGCCAGTGTTGTGAATGTTTCACCTCCAGTCAACTCAGTTGGGCCCCAGGTAACCTTGGCCTCCCCCGAGAAACGCCACTGACTGATATTCAGCTTTTAGACTTGGTGATATTGTAAATATAATCGCACTGTATACAATAATATTTTGTTCAGACTGTACATGAGTTTGAACTGCGTCACTTCACAGTTTACGATACACTCTGACGCACATGGCACTTCTCGAAGCAGTCCACCTCACACAAAGCGACATCACACTTTTTACAATAGAAGAGCGTACTCTTGCTTTTCTTATTTAGCGAAACACACGACGTCTTTGTTTCCCTTTGGTTGGCCAGTGTTGTGAATGTTTCACCTCCAGTCAACTCTTTGGGCCCCCTGAAAACTTTGGCCTTCCCCCGAGAAACGCCACTGACCGTAATATTTGGCTTGTGCTATTGAAGAATCATCTTGAGGGAGGGGGGTTTCTAGCAAAATCGAATAAATTATGTTGATTGACAAAGCGACACACTCACCTGTTGGTAAGACTTGCAAAATAGTGATGTAAAGTAATTATAATACTAGTTGAAAAGAGTGCCAGTCCGACACATACTGAAAGTCGCAGTGGCGAAGATGCCTTTTACTCACAAAGTAATACTGGCTCAGTGGGTTTATACCTCTTCCAAGCCGCAAAATAAAAATGAGAGTCTGACACTGACTTTCTAACTGATAAAGAAATATTAGACAATCCAACACTGACTTCCTGACTGATAATTCGCCACTGCAAACCAATCCTTGAATGCGTCAGACTTCCTTGAAGGCTTGGAAGCACTCATATGCAAGCACAAAGCTGGGCTATATTTGCCTGACCAGGTCATAAACAGTCATATCTAAACGTAAATAGTATCAAAACCAGTACCGTGGTAAACAATTTCTTTGTTCAGAGCTAAGGAATGAACCACTGACATGACCTCACGTAGGTTTGTTTTGGTTTCAAACCCAAGGTCAAACTGTCAGCGCTCCCAAAGAGTGCATGTGTCCTGCGTCATATATACGTGCCATTCGGCCAACTCTGGTTGCTGCTTGCGACATATATATGTGACATTCGGACATTAAAGGTTAAGGTACAGCTTCACTCTTTCACTCAGTAGATGATTGTATGACTAATGGTTAAGGAACAGTACTGGTCATATTTGTCACAAGTAGGAATACCAAAAAAGATGAGGTAGAACTCATATTTGATTGTAACACTGATGCCTGTGACAAGATCTTGGGTGTAAACATGAGGAGGAAGTTTCAATGACAGAACAGCCCTCAGTTCCACCCTGCCAAACACCCCAAGGATTTTGTAAGCTAGGTTGACCGATGGGCTAGGTGAACTCTCACGCAAAGGTTCTGACAGAGGCCGGAGAAGAGCATGTCCATACCACAAGGGTGTCTCGAGTGTGAGTCACCTGCAGACAGAAGAAGCAGGCGTGTCCATGAATTTACTGGTGACATGACTGGCAGATGACAGGACTTGGCACCCCTTATCAAGATTTCAGTTCCACACAGCACTTGCATTTTCTATTTTGCAGCTGTTACAATTTAAATAGGTTCTAAAGGTTCTCGTGGTGGTGTATTACACCCAGAATTACTGGAGTTTTGGGCTTTGTCAGTCGTCTGGCACTCTAAAAACTAGAGAACACAGTGTTTCGGAAACTGGAGCTGTTTCCGTCCTCAGGTGAGGGGGTGACACCTACTCTTCTGGGTCCCTTAGAAAGAGCTAACCAGTGATTGAGGTTAGGTTTAGGTTTCAGAAACTGGATATCTTTCCATCCTCAGGTGAGGGAGGAGATACATGGTTTGTTGGGTCCCTTATAAAGAGCTAAGTAGTGATTGAGGTTAGCTCTTTCTAAAGGACTCAACAGAGTAAGTGCCTCCCTTGCCTGAGGATGAAAACAGGTCCAGTTTTCATAACGTGTTTTCAAGTTTTGCACCGCGCCCTTCGTCTTCCTCTCCACTGATTACTATTATATTATTATTATTACGAAGAGGAAGGGCACAGCACAATCGTTACTGGCCCTATTGTTGGTTCCCATGCTCCCCTAGATGGAGATGGGGTATCCAAGCTAGGAGGAGGAAGCTAGACTCAGTTCGTTGGCTTAGATAAAAACAAATACAATTTTAATAAAAAAATATATAACAATACATAAATAACAAACGACACGTTTGACCAAGAAACTAATACAAGCTCATTTAGAACAAAACAATTTCCCGTCGACACCACTTGTGTTGACACTAGCCATATTAGGATGTTAAACACTCAAGCTATACAAACACAAGTCTAATTCTGAAGAATACCAAACCAAATCTAATAACGCGCATCGCAAGCGTTCAAGCAACGGCTTGCGACCGTGGGCAGTCCTTACCGGCCAGCCAGATAGCACCAAAAGGGAATTTAGAACAGACCCAGCCGAAACCAATATTTTCCCCAACAAACCTGCTGACTAGTAACTGACCTTCCAAGTCAACTTGGTCTACACGACTGCACTGTACAAGGCTCCCCTTCACGAGAGGGTACATGGGACCACGTGACTGACGTCAGGATACTGCATAGTGGGGATGGAATCCGTCAAGGGAAACATGATGATCATACGTGAGCGAGCTAAACCTTAGAACAGCTCAGTTTATAGAATGCTAGACAGTGAACAAAGTCCGAAAACGCAGTAATTCTGAGTGTTACAATTCTCTGTGGTGGAGGAGATGAGATACTACTATAATCCGGACTTGCAGCATGTGACAAATCACTCCGTCAAATTTGTGATGTCACAGAAAGAGAAATACCCCCACCCCCGAACTTGGCATTCAAGTGAGACATATGCTATGACCTGAAGTTCTGGTGTTTGATGGTTGTTTTTTTACATATTTTTATAGCAGAGCAGTGAATCGGAACAGGTTATGTCACCCCTGTGCCTTCCAAACAATGGTAGGGCTATTGACAGTTATGACCCAGACTGGAACAGATGGGAAATTAAGAAACCTATTGACTTCTCGAAGGAAGATATTATGTCCCTTTTGAACACTAGCTGTTTTTGGTTAATAGTTACTAATGTGAAGGTATGGATCATGTCACTAATGAATATTGAGAGGGAAGAAGATGAATATAAATCTTTGTTATTATTTTCCATTGTATGCAGTACACAATTTAGTTTCTGTATAGCATCAGAGTGGTTTATGATTGGCTATGAATTTCCTGGAAGGCAATTTGTCACACATTTGAATTACAGATTGTTCATTTGCAAAATGTTTGGAGTAAATAATAGTCTTTGTTATTCTAATGTCTAATGTAGTGTAATGTTATTCGCAGCATGTTTTGTAGTCTTTACAAGTTGGAGAGGTTGGTTTAATAGTAGTGCTTTAGATTTGTATTTCACAGGTGCTTGGTTTGAATTTTGGTCAGGATACCAGCTATCCTGGCAGATTTGCCATGATTTTTCGGTCTTTCCAGATAAATGTCAGTATAGTATCTATATTAGGCTGCAGTCACCTACTTCAAAATTGTTCCCAGTTCATCATACATTAATCATTGTATTGTCTGTAACTTTATGAATGCTTGACACTGATGGGCCATTAAATAAGGAACTAAAGAGACATGTTTTGCTTTTCAGGAGGGGATGATGGGAATGGAAATGGAAATGGAGGACCAGTAGGTCGGGGTGGCATGCGCGGGCGTCGTCAGATAAATGTTGACATTACGCGTACTCGGCCACTCAACTTGAACACTAAGCAAGGTGAGTTAGCATCTGGTGATGCATTATAATCATTAAGGTTTCATTCCCACATTTTATAGGGTCTGTGTTTATTTGATACAGTTAGAACATATATCCTCAGTCTGAAACATTTTTGAGTTGTGTTATACATCGAGTAGACACCTATATGGAAGAACAGCTCTGTATATTCTGGGGGATCTCCGTTGTCATGCTTTTGGTGCCCATAGTATGTTGCAGATGTAATCTAGTAAGTAATGACATAATCTGCTTCCAGTGTCTCATAGTGAAGTTATGGCCATGCCGTAGCTCAAGCGGTTATTTGCTGGCTTCCCACCGCGGCGGCCCGAGTTCGATCTCAGGTCTGGTCAAATGGGATTTGTGGTGGACAAAGTGGCGCGGGGGCAGGTTTTCTCCGAGTACTTTGGTTTCCCCTGCCAATCTTCATTCCACCAAATGTTCCATAGTCACCCTCACCCATCATCTGGGGCTGGTACAATAGGCCAGAAGTGGCTGCAGTACAAGGGACTTAGTCCCACCCCACTAGCAATAAAAAAATACCTCAAAGATGTTTTAGATGCAGTTTAACTAGAAATGATAGTAAGAAAAATGTGCAAGAAAACTGCACATCCACTAGCAAAGAAAGACCTTAATTTCATAATCTGTCTCTGTCTATGGCTGTACAGCCTTTGTGGACCTTGGCTGCTTTTTCAGTTCCTTAACCTATACGCACTCGGTAGGACGTCATGGATGGGGGGATCAGCCAGTTTCAAGGCTGCTGCCTACACAATAAATGCACACAGACATCCAAGCCTCAAGTGGGATTCAAACCCACAGTCTCAGTGTTCAAGCGGGTGAAGGCAGTTCATGCATTAGACTGTATGCCCACTGTGATTGGCAACTTCACAATATATACAGGGTGTCCCAGGAGGAATGGACCAAACTTCGGGAGGGTGTTCCTTATGTTAAAGTATGCCGATATAACCCAAAACACCTATGTCCAAAGTTGAACGGTTACGGAGATAATGGCCCGAGAAAAGTGTGGTCTTCTTGCAGGTC